GGGGAAGTGCCCCCTGATATATGGTCTTCTAAGTCTCATGCACTCTGCAACCTCCGCCTCCCGGGTTCAAGTGATCTTTCTGCCTCAGCCTCCGAGTAAATGAGATTGCAGGTGCATGCCACCAGTCCTGGTAATTGTGTATTTTTATTAGAGACAGGGGTTTTACCACGTTGGTCAGGCTGGTCCGAACTTGTGACCTCAGGGTGATCGGCCCACCTCAGCACCCCAAAGCTGCGGATTACAGGCATGAGCCACCACGCCCGGCTTGTTTTCTTGTTTTGTTGGTTTGTTTTTTTTTTGAGACGAGTCTCACTGTCACCCAGGTGGATGTGGTGGCTCTGTCTTGCATCACCTGCAATCTCCACCTCCTGAGTTCAAGCAATTGTTGTGCTCAGCCTCCGAGTATGTGGATTACAGGCTACCATGCCTGGCTAATTTTTGTATTTTTAGTAGAGGGGGTTACACCATGTTGGCCAGGCTGGTCTTGAACTCCTGACCTCAAGGTGATCTGCCCACCTTGACCTCCCAAAGTGCTGGGATTACGGTGTGAGCCACCACACCCAGCTTTTATATGTATTTTAATGCTCTCAGTTGAAAATTTTATATCAAAGAAGTGCCACAAAATTAACAAATTTGATCATCAACTGAGGAAAGCCTTTGAGTTGTATGTAGAAGCATTTACATTCTATAATGATCATAATTTTTGATAATTACTTTTTCAGAATAGAATTCTGCAGTGGATCCAGAACCACAAGTAAAATTGGAGGATGTCCTACTGGCTTTACTGCTTGTGAACCTAAAGAAGCGTTCCGACAGTCTCATCAGGAATACGTGTCTCAGATATTATCCTAAGCTTAGAGTTGACAATCAGGTTGGCCATTGGCCTGGCCTTTACAAACATGATGTGGTTACTTCTTTAGCTGCCTTTTCAATGGAAAGGAGAATGATTAAATACTGAGGAAGGATTGACTTTAGCTAAGAATAAACCTTTTTTGTTGGTCTTATTTTTTTTGCCCCATTATGTGTTTCTCTTCATATCTCCATGTGTAGTTTTTTTGTTTTGTTTGTTTGTTTGGAGACAGGTTTGCTCTTGTCATCCAGGCTGGAGTGCAGTGGCACCGTCTCGGCTCACTGCAGCCTCTGCCTCCCAGATTCAAGGGATTCTCCTGCCTCTGCCTTCTTCTGGTCTTCAAGCGATCAATCCTGCTCCTGCTCCCCACGTAGTGGGAACTAAGCGCCCGCCCACCAATACCCCAAGCTAATTTTTGTCATTTTTAGTAACAGAGTCAAGGTTTCATCATGGCGCAGGCTGGTTCGAACTTTGAACTCAAGTGATCCAGCTCCCTCCCAGAGTGCTAGGATTACGGTTGGAGCCACTGTGGCCGGCCCTTTATTTTTTTTTTTTCTTCTTTGAGATGAATCTCACTCCTTGTCCAGGCTAGAGCGAGTAGACAATTACGCTCACTGCACTTAGTCCGGGTTCAAGCGATTCTC